TAAAAATTATAAAAATTTTATTTTTATTTTTACTTATTAAGCTTATATTTTATTTTTTCAAATAATATTTTAGGTTTAGGTCAATACTTAGTAGAAAAATTTCTTATATTTAATGCAACCAAACATTTAGAAAAGATTTATAAGCTATGTACAGTACATTTTAAAAGGTATTATTACTTTTCAACTATAACGAGGCTAATAAAAACTCATCAGAACTTTAATTTCGACCTTACTTATGTCTAAGTTCGTTCAAATATTTTAAGAATGCTATGCTGTAAATTGCTATATAAATCTTTCTGATAGTAAATCTACCTGTTTTAAACCCAGAGTTAAGAATTTGGTAGAATATAAAAAATCGGATCTGTTAACAAGTGATTTATCAAAAGCTATATAGAACAAGTAGAATCTTCCGTTATTATCTATCATCACACTCTTTTTTCTGCAATATATTTTCTAGATATAGTACAGAATAGAAGGTAACATACCCAAGTGGTCTATATGGCGATTTACAGGTTTCAAATCAGCAAATAATTTTTAGCTGCGTAAAATTAATTTTTTGTTTTGCATAATTTGCCAACCTATTTTTTTTTTAAAGCCCAATCGTGCCAATTATTCTATTTTTGCTGTTGATTTTTTTCATAAATTTATCCAACATGATTTAATGGAGACCAGGTCATGCAAAACGAAAAATTAATTTTGTGTAGTCATATTAAAATCAACTAGCTAGCTAATAATTACTTTGCTAATATCATTATATTAATTAATGGTATATTTAATTTATGTTTATTTATTTAATAGGAATATTCATAACAAAAAAGACGTAAATAAGGAAATTAAAAAAAAAAATGTACTCATTATTAGAAAATAAAACAGCATATGAAGTTATGAGTACTCTGGAATTTCTTCAACATTGTGAAGAGCCTGGTGTAGCGAGTATGTTTAATAACTATATATAATAATTGAATTATGCAAATTTATTATTATGATTTATTTATTTATTTTATATTTTAGACTGAGTTCAAGATAAAAGACAATCGTGGGTACTTGCGAGTTTGTCGCCGGCATTTACTAAAATGTTACCAACAATTTGGGCCAGTACACCTTTTACAACAAATGTGGGAGAATCAGCTCATGCGAACATTAACTGGAATGGATATGGGTTATCTTTATTGGCTGCTATTCAAAGGTAAATTAAATTTCATTGTATAATTAATTTCATTGTATAATTCGTGTTATTTATAACAAAATTTATTTGTTATATCTAAAAATAGAGCAAGCGAATTTGATAAATTTCAATGGAGCTCCGCCTA